AAAGAACAAAGAAGAAAGAAGGCTAAAGGTTTTGCGGGATCTAATTCAATCACTTGTTTTTTTTAAATTTTTTACTTTTCTTTATTTTCTGAAAAAATAGGCGGTTAATCAATATAATTTTCGCGGTTAACCTTACGATGACGTTTACAATAGGTAATGTGCTATAACAGATAGTGGTACAATTAACAATCTAGGCGCTACACATAATATTTTTCCCGCTCACCAAATATTATTAGGTTTAACAAGGAAAGATCAATTTATTCACATCCTAAAAAACTATCTTTCACAACTTTAGTTTGGGTCCGGACTTTATAATCTACCAAGAAAAATTTATAATATATTTGTGTTTCACAGTTATGTTGCACTAGATTTTGCCCCGCACCAAGTGCGGAATTATAAATTTCAATTGTATTTTAAAATTTATTTTGTAATATATAAAAAATATTAAAAAGATATAACTATATGAAATAAATTTTAAATCTATCGTTTTGAATCATAGACATCCAAAAATATTAGATAAATAGTTTATATTTGACTTTAAATAAGTTTGGTACTACGATTTGTGTCTAATGCTAAAAAACTCAATAGTCATATACATCTTACTTAAATAAATTTACATGTACTTCAACAAAAAATAGGAATAAATAATCAACATGCATTTTAAATTTAGTGAATACCGATTATTAATTGAGTCGATTTACAATAACGAAACCAATATTTTAAATTTACGGTGTCGTTGATTCAAGTTGCATCTTACTTTCTTTGTGACGATTGAAAAAAAAAATCTTTGTTAGATTTTGTATTTTTTCCTCATGTCACGTTATTTTTTAATAGATTATTGAGATGTTCTTCAATTCACTTTTTGAACGTCTTTTCAATTAATATATATAGGATAAATGATGTTATATAAAATATTTAGTTAATTTTAAAGTATGCACACTATGATTTTAATTAGGTATATGGCCGTTGTGGTTTGATATATAATTGGGTTAATTGGGCTAATTATATTTTTTGGTCGTTATTGTGGTTTGTTAGAGGATGACCGTTATTGATCAATTTTTCTAATTTTCATTCATAATCCTTTAAAATCCTCTTAGCATGACACCTCGGATTTTCACCTAGTGTCTCTTCTATTAATATATAGAGGATTTTATGGAAGTTCACCCCGTCTCAATTTATTTTACCATATCTCATGTTTTTTTAGCTTAGCAATAGTTGAATTTCACTTGCATTTTTTTGAATTTCACTTACATTTGTATCCTCTTTCTCCACACCGAAGAAACAAGGGATACAAATGATGTTCTCATGAGATGAAATGATATATTGCAAAGATTATGTTCTTGTCTTTGTTTTATTTTTAAAGACTTGTTAACTGGATCAAGCTAATTTCTCGTAAGACCAAACTTATGTAGTAATTTTTTTTGTTGATAAATAAATTACATTTGAACAAAAAAAAAGAATTTAATGTAAAATTTTGTTCAAACTAAATTCTTTTTACAATGAATACATTAGAATTTTGATAAAAAGATTTATTGTCATACAAAATTACAAACCACATGGACAATCTTTCATCGTATGAACGATCACACATGTTTTGCGATTCAAACTAAACTCTTTTTTTTTGTTTTACTAAGTTTGATTTTTATGTTTTTGTCAACGAGTTTGTTGATTCGAAGTGAGTATTATCAACTCACATAAAATAGTAAAAAAATTATGACAACTAGGTTAGTTTTTG